GTGGCTGCCGCGCGAGGAAGAACAAGGAGGCCGATACCCCCGCGTGCCTCCCCTCCCCTCCGCCCCCAGCCCGGCAGCGGCGACCGAGCACACGAACCAAATCGAAATAAACCCACAGCCTTTGGGCGATTTGGATTATGGGATTTTCGTCTTTTCCCTGCGCCAGGGCCGTTCCTCTTTTTGCGGCTGCTGGAGGCGGGGAGGGGGAGTGGGAGGTGTGCGACTGGTGGTCCCATGGAGTGTCGGCCGTCTCTCTCGCTCCGAGAGTCCCTCGCCCGCTCGGCCAGGGCGGCGGCCGGCGGGGGCGATGGTGGTGGTCTCGTGTGGCGAAGGGGAGATTTGGAGCAAATGACCGCGAAATAGCGATAACATTGTGATTTTATTACCGACACGCGGCTCGCTTGTCCGGCCGGGGGAGGGGTGGGGGGGCGCCACGTTGACCATCGGCCGAGCCTCACTGGCCCTGGCCTGGCTAGCTCATAGATGACACGGAGCGGTCCGCGAGTGCAAACATCTCTGTCAAAACTGTGTGTGTCATTGTGAACTTTGGCATTCCCGAAACCAAAAGCCGAACGCTGTGCACAACATGTATACATGAATATACACTCTCGCTCTGGTAACAAACCACCCCTTTCTAACTAATTAACTGGTGCGCAGCTCTTTCCACCACCGCCGCCGGTCAACAGTGTGGCGCCTGACTTCGTTAGTCAGTTGTCGATGATGAGCGGATGCGCGCCGGCGTCCCTCCGGGCCTCGGCCGGCTGCAGCCAACGCTCATGGAGCCGAGGTGAAGCCGATCCCCGCGGGTAAACACCGTGTTCGGCCGCGCTCCCGTGCCCAGCGCTGCAGCCGAGGCCGTGGAGCCGAGGCCGCGGAGAAGAGGCCGTGGAGCCGAGGCCGTGGGGCTGGAATCGTGCCGTGGAGGCGAGGACGTGGAGGCGAGGCCGCGTGGAGGCAAGGCCGTAGAGGCGAGGCCGTGGCGTGGATCCCCGCGGGTAAACACCGTTGTTCGGCTGCGCCTCGTGCCCGGCGCGCGCCGCGCAGAGCAAACAGCCCAACTAACATACCGCTAACACTATTTTACATACTACTTCCAGATTGGCCTCGGCGCGGTAGCTGCGCTCCCCAGGGACGAGGAGACGAGCGCCGCCGTGGTGGTGGTGGTGGTGGTGGTGGCTGCAGTGGCGATGGCCTCGTCCGCGAGCTGCTGCTGGGGCCCTACGGCCGAACGTGTGAGTCAGCTCCTCAGCCTCTGAGTAAAAGGGATCCTTCAGAAAGTACGTCCGGTCATTCGCCGTTACGAACCTGCTAATAGCAAAGTCCAGCGAATGCAAGCTCTCATGGCGCCTGATGGGTAGGCAGCATCCTGTCTGCAATGCAAGCGTGTACTGCAGGGTAGCCTACCCCGAGTCTCACAGGCGCCGAGCTGCTGTAATTTGCTGAAGGGATCTAAGAAAAACGGACGCACTTGCTGGGCGATCCCAAAGGGCGCCCTGCTTCTGGTCAAGCCCCTTGGGGAGAAAATCGCGCTTCTTTTATAGGAACATTTGAAAAGGCGTTGTTACGGCCATTGTGTCACTACCCTGGGGTGGCAGAGCTGCATAGAAAACTGCATAAAATGCGCATTTATGGCGCAAAAATGCGCGTCCGGCAGTTTGCTTACCTGCTGGGCGGATTCGTCACTGGCCAGGGCCGCCAGGCCAGTAGCGGCCAGGATGCAGTGGTTCCACGGGCCTCGCGAGGTCAACCCGGGTGCACGGGGCGGGCTGAGAGTGCGGCGGGGCGGGGCGTGCGGGGAGATGCCAGATAGCAGCCCACCCCTCGCCCGCGCCACGCCGCGCCAGACCGCGGCGGGTTCGCGGAGTCACGCTGCACACTCTTCGCTCATTAATAAACATAAATTGACACGACGCGGTGGTTTGGGGAAGGCTGCGTTCGGGGAGGCTGAGCGGAGCAGGTCTCTCCTCCTGGAGCAGCGCGCCCCGCTGAGGACCTGTGGAGGCCGCGGGCGCCGCGGACGCAGCCGGACCCCTGCCAAGACTTTGAGCGGCTTTGCGGGGTCGCTCGGCTCCTCGAGGATTGCCTTTGAAGAGGCGGTGCGCGGCAGCAGGCGCCCCCGCCCCCGCCGCGCCCGAGTGCCCCGCCCCGCCCCTCGGCGCGCTCTATAAATTTAAGCGAGTGACGTTTCATTCACTATGAAATGCCTTCGAAAGTAAAGTTTACACTCTGAATAGATCGTCTTGGACTTTGGGGCAATCTGGAGAAGTGATCGGTCGCCTGTTAGTTTGTGAAAGAGGAGCCGCCGGGGCTCCAGCCAGTGAGCGTGCGAGAGGCGTGCGGAGTTCCTGGTGGTACCGGAGCAGCCCATGGTGAGTGGTGACCCTGGTGTCACGGGCCGCCGAGTCCTCGAGCGCCGCCGGCCGAGCCTCCGGGCCTCCCAGCCATCACTCATATTTCAGCCATGCCTTATCCAACATCGTCCTCTATTCATCCGCCCCCACCCCCTCCACCACCACTTTCACTTCCCCGTTCTCCCCCGCTCCGTACGTCTCATCAACCCCTCCACCTTTTTTACGCCCCACCCCTCTTATTTCCCTTCGTGGCCACAGCGAACAGAGGCTGCGGCAGCGGAGTCAGTGCAGTGCGTATGCGCTCACATCACCACGTCTTCCACCGGCCCATGCTTGATTCCCCGGGCAACCCTTAGATGTGGAATTGAACGTTTCATTCGGTCCTCCGTATCCGTATGAGCGATATGATATATGATTCGAGCAGAGCCCCAAAACACCTTTTTCAAGGACCGAATGGGGAGGGAGGCACCTCTCATGCGAGAGATGTCTTGTTTTCAGAGCCCGCTCTCGCTA